CTTGACCTTCATACCCTATGAAAACTCAATAATTATAAAGCTTAACATTAGTAATTTAAGTGATGCCAGAAAAGAAATTTAAGGTGTGCATTAACAATGCTAATGATGTACTATTGGGTTGTTCCCTGGAAATTCCACAAAAATCAAATAGTTTTTTTTTTCTGTGGCTCAAACAAGTTTAGATTACATGCTCTTGTTGAGCGTCCTCCAATCAACTCCTCCTAAGGGCTATGTACCGTTTGTTTCAAGCTTTACCACCGAAGGAATTTTTAATGCACGGTGATTCAGTTAAGGTTAAGCATAGAAATTCTCCGGCTTAATGAAACCAAAATTTGGACATCGCAGCAACGCGGACGCATGTACATAGGTACGCATCATTTTGTTGCAACTTTTAAGTGGCACATCTTAACATCAATTTATCGGGTATACATTGTTTTTCATTTCATTTTCGGTTCAATGATAAAATTGTTTGCTTTACTTCATTCCAAATGTTTACACTCGCATCTGTTACAGTACCTTTTTTGAAGCCTTATTGATTGAGGGTTTCAGGTAACAGTCCCTTTTGCTAAAAAGCAGTCTTGCTATTCACCGAAATTGATTGCTGAACTGATCTGCAGAAAATGGTATGACATTTCACAGATGGTCGATCAATAAAAAGATGTTCCATGAAAAATTTAAAGTATATGTTGTAAAGATGATTGGCAAACTCTTGCTGAAATCATAATCTTGCACATACAACCACTAATATCGTAGAAGAAGTTTATTACTATAACAAGTTACTCCATAAAATTGTTTTTTTGGTTTTTCAATCAAACAACGTCAAAGTTTCCATTTTAAAAGTGGCTTTAGAATGCCATATTTGTTGTAGCGTTCCAGCTAGGATGGCTTATTTAAAATATAGTAAAACATTGGAAAGCTCATTGCGTGGGTGCATCCTTTCAAGGGAAGTAGATATCAGTAATCAATTATTTTTAAATCATCATCATGGAAGCTGCTCAAAATGAATTCGCTCTCATAAATTCCATTTCCTTCTTCTATTCCCATTATAGTAGAATTCCAATTTAAACTATAGGTGGCTTCAGCACTGGCGTAAAGCTCTGTTGGCAATGACGAGAAGAGAGCTTTAGACTATAGACATATGCGAAGGGGCAGTTTGGTGGAGTTAGCGAAATGTGATGATCATGCAGTATTGTAGGTTTTGAATCAAAGCTGCGGTAATTGCTTGACCGACCGCTAAAGTCACGTATGACTTTACACTGTGATTCTACCATTATCGCCAAAAGTACAAGATCCCTCTAAAAGTGAAAACCTAAATGCAATCTTGTCCTTTAATTTCAACCATCAAAGCCAAGAAGAGATTGAAAATAAAATATTAATAGTGTCTTATAATTAACCTCAAGCTACCCAAAATCGCAAATGCTACCATTTTGGGGTGCCACTGACTGCTCATAAGCAGGTGTGCAAGCAGAAAATTGGAAAAAAAGAGAGCTACAAGCCAACACTTCCTTTGTTTCCGGCTGAATGAAAACAGCAGTAATCTTCCTGCCGCTGTTTTTTTTTCATTCAGAATAATCAAACTATGAAGCTCTTGAAGTAGTAAAGGTGGTAATAGAAAAAAAGCGTGTCATTGAAAAATACGCAGCGGAACTATCACGGCTACTCCGGAAGTTCCAGAAACAGATAAGGAATCATATACTTATAGTTGGGGACTGGGAGAACTTGCTGTAGCAGAAAGTTGGGTTTGTTAACTGATTTCTTCGGTAACATCTCATGACCAATCAACTATGTCTAAAACAAAAGAGAGCCTTTAGATGCACCTAACACTTTAAAAGTGTTCTTACGTATAATTGGAGTTTGAAATTAGAGTTTTAAAGCACTAATCTTTAGTTTGTTAAGATTCCCGAAAAGATCTCTAGCTTTATGTTAGCTGTACTGAGCAAAAAATGGTTGGAATGTACTTACATGATTGCTCTGATTGTACTGCGATACGGTATCGAAGCGATAAGTTGTCGAATGGTAGATTGGAGTAACAATAGGCTGAGCCCTTGCCAGAGTCTTAACATGCGAAGCGGCGAGCTTCGATTCCAGATGAAGTTCATCAAAACTATCGCCAAAGCGTTCTCGTCCGCTGTTCACCGCTGGAGGATTCTCAAACTCACTAAAACAAACAAATACATCTGCTTATTACACTGCTCTCTACTTTTGTATGTGCTTGATGACGCGCTGTACGATTGCAAGGGCGAGAAATTCTTCGGTGTTTACGATGGCTCAAAAGTAAATGATAGATTAGCAACCCATGTGCGGACAGTGAGCGCTGCTGCTGTAATAACGCTATCTGTAGAAATACAGCGATCGTTTGACGGGGAGCGAAATGTGATATGAGAATCAAATAAGTGATTTTTGAAATTATACGAGATATCAAAGTACTGCCTCAGTGTATAAAAAGATGTTTGTTAAGATACATAGAAGACGAAAAAGCAAAATTCAAAAAAGTTTAGGTTAATCAGTCAATTATGGCTGAAGCAGATAGTAGATAAAATATAAGATTTTAGATAAGTTCCATAACTTTGCGAAGGTGAAAATCAAAAGGACATACCTCATGTTGAATTAGCAGGCTTCTTCGTCGACCCAACTTCAGGAAAACCGCCCAGTAGTCGCGTGATTGTTTTGTTATCTACGGGACGTGATCGATCTATTAAAATTCGATAAAAAGTTCAAACGTTTGCCCAGGTGAACGTACATTGTATAAATCATGTTTTGTAAAGTGCAACAATTGGATCATCCCACTATTTTGTGCTGACATGCTAATTCAAAAAGCAGCCGATTTTTTGCTTTTGTAAGCGCCAGTTTTTTCATCTTCTTGAGCTCTCACTCGCAGTGCAAAAGTGGATGTACTATAATATATTAATCTTACATTGTTGTGTCGCAAACCTTTTTGGATGAGTTTCTGTAACGGGAATCACTACCAAAATAATTGAAATCTTACTTTTTATTCTAAAGAAGAATAACTAATGAAGACCTACGATTTTGGTAGACAT